CAGCGCTGCGCTTATGAACAGCAATGATTCAGTGTTTCCTTGGTTACTGCTGTAAACAAAGCAGAGCTGCGCTTATGAACTTTAATATGCATTATACAGAGGCAAGATGAAAAGAAAAAATACCATCTAAACTTTTCTAAAGACAGCAAGTTCCCCTCAGACATACATTCTTATAAACTCCTACACCTAATTGAATCGTGATTTGTTTTTTGGGGAAGTCGTGGCCTAATGGTTAGAGAGTCGGACTCGTAACCCAAAGGTCACGTCATGTCACGTCACGTTTAGCATCTCAACCGATTTGAATCGTCACATATTTGAATCGATTTTCAACCGGCTCGCGGTTAATCGTTACATCCCTACTGCAAGCTACTCAAATTAGAAACCAAAAAAAAAAAAAATGCACAACACAAACTCCAACAAATAAATTTCCCCAATCCTACAAATCTTTCGCTCTACACGGCTAACGTTACGTGCATCCTATTGTTCACTTTACAGCTTCAGAGTTTGGATATCACGGTTATATTTGCATTAAATTAACTTAAGACTACAGACGGATCAGACACTTTCACTTCACTTTTTTAAATCAATATTCATTATACATTCATCTTTATCAGTAAAATCGTGATAAATGGCACTATTTGGTTAGAAACGCACACAAACTATGTTATTAGTGTGTTCAACAAGAAAAAAACGTCATTTATTTGTTTGCATAAATTCAACTGAGAAATGCATAGATCTAGTGAAGATTAGGATAATTTTGCAAAAATGTAATAATCAAATACTAAGAAAAATGCATCATAAATTTCTCAAATGTATTATTATAATTTATAATTATTAATTTAATATTTTATGAAATATCAATATAATATTTATCACACGATTTATCGTAAAATATTTAAATAGTTTCATAACTAGAATATTTTTATTTAAAATTTTATTTAAATTTATGCATAAAGAAAAGGATAATTTCACAACAATTCCGCATAAATGCAATGGTACAAATTATTATAAATTAAAACCAACAATTACTTAGGAATATGTATCAAAAATAATTTCTCAAATGTATAAATAGAATTTATAATTAATTAAATTTGTATTGAATATTAACATAATATTTTTATTGCACGTTTTACATTTTTCATTACTATAATTTTTTTATTTATAAAATCAACAATTACCACTTAATTGTATACATCATATGTTTAATATGCATCAATAATATAATTTCTCAAATGCATAATTAGAATTTATAATTATTATTAATTAAATATTGATGAAATATCAATATAGTACACATTTTATAATATTTAACTAGTTTCATTATTATATAATTATTAATGACTTTTTAATTATATAAATATAAATATAATATTATACATATTTTTTATAATAGCACATTAATATCTTAATTATTATAATATTTTTATTTTGCATTTTTATTTAGATTTAAGCATTTGAAAGACACTTTTCAGATCAGAACGTACCAGAGGCGATCTGGATCTTACAGTTGGATTCCAGCTGAATTCTCGTGATCTGCTCGCCGCCGCGTCCAATGACTGATAAAAACACACAGATCCGCTTATATCAGGCCAAAAATTGCATGCATACTGATTTATAAAGAAGAATTTTTTTTAATAAAAATAGTTCAGCTTCTAACAGGCCAAAAATTTTATGCATACTATTTTTTTTGCATGCATGCAAAGTTTTTCAAAACACAACAGCAAATCCTTATTTTTTAGACAAGCTGCTCTAAATTTAAAAAATAATAATAATAAAAGTGAGCAAATCATTATAAACCTCAGTAGGACTTTGTCACTAAAAATCTGCACATGCATGCATTTTTAGAGCATTCCGTAAAATGTAACATTTTATCACAGCGAAGCTGCATTAGGTTGTTATTTTTATGCTAACTATTAGACTATTAAAGCTCAAATGTTTGTGCAAAAGCCATATGAAGAATATCAGTACTTACTGAATCCAACCATCTTATCAGGCACTTTGAACTCTTCTGTCATTATAGCCCTAAACAAACACATAACATGATCATTACAGCTGTGCACAGAAATGCATGTTTATTAGTCAAAAAACTATAATAAGCAACAGCACAACATGAGAGTTTTAATAAATACAAGCGCTCACCTTGTACCATGCACCATTGCACCGAGCTGGTTTGCCACTGCACAGAAACAGAAGGGAATATTACAGTCTGGCAGAACAAACTTCAAACCTGAGAATACGTAAATGTTCCAAAAAAAAAAATATTTAAAAATACGGTAATAAATAATCTATTATATTTCAAGAGCTGAACAACTTTGGTAAAATGTTGGAGTTAAAAAATTTTCATAAATAGTTAAATAGTTAAAAAAAATTGTTAAATAGTATGAATAATTTAAAAACAGTAAAAATAATTCATTATTATTTATTTATTTATCTAACAAATTAGGTTTTAGACACTCAACGAATCGCAAATAAATAAAGAATAACAAAAGCAAAATGCTAAAAAAATATATTTTCGCTACATGAATCTGCAGGTCAAAATTCACCAGACTTAAACTCTTGGTACGCAGCGATTATTATTAATATCAATGCATACTGAAACGTACTGTTTGCATGCATGTTGGTTTCAGTTAAACATTCATGCAACAAGAAAATATTCAATTTAATACATTTTGGAAAAAAAAAATTATAAAAAATAACTCCTTTAAAAAAAAAAAAAAAAAAGTTAAGGTATTTTTTTGTTTGTTTACAAATAAGATGCATTACTAATTAATATAATTTTGGGGGGAGTTTTTTTTTTTTTTTCTAAGAATTTTTTTTTTTATATATAATATGCCAAACTACTTAATAAAGCTGTCCTTTCAAGTTTTAGTAATGACCAATAACAATTTAAGCCAGAAAAAAAGTATTGCATTGATAACTGAATAAAAGATTAAAAATAAAATAATTTCCCACAGATTTTTTAACCACGATGTGTTTGAATCACAGGTTTATTCTGGTGTTTTGAAGCCGAATCAGGCCACACAAACAGGTTTCACTTCCTGACGTTTGCACAAGAGTTCAAGAGCAGAAGTAGCCATCAATGGCTGGTGTGGGAAAACACTGTCAAAGGTCAACGCTTCTTAAAGCCCTGCATTGATTTTAACCTCAAAGTTACTTTACTTTCGTCCTGTATCTGCTGTATTACTCAGACTAACACTGACATGATATTAATCATTTAGCAGACAAGATAACCACAAATCAGCCTAGTGGTGCCTAATAATGCAGCAACATTCATAAGCAACAGGTGTGTGTTTATGTTAAAATCGGAGCTTTAATGATCCATCTCATAAATAAAGGATTTGAGGACGTACCTCCTTCGTCCAGCGAGCGTTTCTGTCCTCCGAAGCCATACAGCGAGGCATCGACGACCGGAGACGAGTTATTCAGATGCTGCATCTGCTCTCCTCCCATCTTAGCAATCTGTGAGACCAGAGAGCAAACCACGGCCTGAAACACGTCTGACAGAGGCATACAGGACTGGGTGATAACATAACATAACATAACATAACATAAAATAAAAAATTTAAAAATTTAATAAAAAAATTATATTAAATTAAAATTAAAATTAAAATTAAAATTAAAATTAAAATTAAAAAAATTAAAACCAAAAAAAAAAACATTTTCATTGCTAGAAATAATATAAACATTAAATGAAATAAAATAAAAAAAATATTTCAGCGAGTTCACAAGGCAAAATCTTATTTTCATTTAGTTTAACTTGATGACTAAAATAATTAAAACTGAAACTAAAATTAAAACTATAAAAAACATTTTCATTATAGAAATATAAACATTAACTGAAATAAATTTTTTAATATTTCAGCGAGTTCTCAAGGCAAAATCTCATTTTAATTTAGTTTAACCTGATGTGATTAAAACTAAACTGACTAAACAGCGCAAAACAATCCAGAACGACTTATCGTGCCAACTATTTTTTCCTAAAGTGATCAAACTTGCACGAACTCTTCTAGAACGGCTGCAGAAAGCAGAAGACACGCAGTCTGTCGCCACAGTATCAGGCTCTTAACAGAGAATCGATCCGTCAGGCGCCTCCTTACAAGCGCCGACACTCAGGAGAGTTACAATGAAGTCATTCAGAGACAACAACTCTACACTCATCTGCATTAACATCTCAGAACATGTCTCGAAACTTAGCAGTGCCTCAAAGTGTGCAGATTGTTTGCAACGCGTATGACAAAGTAACGCTCTTTAAATCGCACCTGTATGTTACAAATAAGCGATGATGATGATACTGGAATATTCATGCGAGTTTACGGCTCCCGTCTGGTTTTTCATGTTATGCAAACGTGGCGCGGCACATGCATGAATGACTCCTCTCAGTGTCTCATATTCACACGAGCTTCTGTCTGAAACACTGACACGTGTGTGTCACGACAGCTGCATGTCGCTGCTCACTATACGGCTCTCATGAAATCAATGACTTTAACAATGAATGCAACTTCCAAAGTAACTACAAGAACTTCTGTGGTATACAGTGTAATGCTTGCAAGTTACTTTGACTTTTACCAAGAAACGAAGTACTCATCTGAGTAGATATACTACATGCAATACTGTATGTAATGGTAAAATGACAATTATGAGTATTAAAAATGCTCATCTGAGTAGATATACTACATGCAATACTGTATGTAATGGTAAAATGACAATTATGAGTATTAAAAATGCTCATCTGAGTAGATATACTACATGCAATACTGTATGTAATGGTAAAATGACAATTATGAGTATTAAAAATGCTCATCTGAGTAGATATACTACATGCAATACTGTATGTAATGGTAAAATGACAATTATGAGTATTAAAAATGCTCATCTGAGTAGATATACTACATGCAATACTGTATGTAATGGTAAAATGACAATTATGAGTATTAAAAATGCTCATCTGAGTAGATATACTACATGCAATACTGTATGTAATTGTAAAATGACAATTAGGAGTATTAAAAATGCTCATCTGAGTAGATATACTACATTCAATACTGTATGTAAAGGTAAAATTTTAATTTTGGGTATTAAAAATGCTCATATGAGCAGATATACTAAATGCAATACTGTATGTGAAGGTAAAATGACAATTATGAACTGTTATCATTTACATGTGTGGAGCATCTCAATCTCCATCTCTGCATGTTGTTGTGAGTTTGGGTTTATTATAACGTTCATCTGGGAACGCAACGTGCGCCATTTCATCAGATTTGTAAGGTAAACCATTTATAAATCTACGCAAACACAGGAGAATACATCATTATCTCGCGGTTTCAAAATAAAAGTTCAAATCCTCACTCTGAGTTCACACGTTTTGATGTCCACATATTCTTTTAATTACAGTGGCTATAGCATTTCTGTCCTAAAGAAATGGCCAAATATTAAAGATTAAGTGGACATTTGAATTAAATGGTGCTTGGT